TTTTATGTTTAGATCATTCAAAGGATAATATTATGATTAAAAGAATACTTAGCAGATAAAGATTCATGTTCTAGGGAAGATTAAATGGAGATATAATATGATCGTGACAATATTTTCATGGTTCTCTTTTGGAACTTTTTAAAACATAAATTAAATTTAATGATATTTGACAGTTTAGGTGAGTCTAGTAACTAAACTACTGAATAGAGCATAGCAATCATTCTATGATCATGTCAATATTTTCATGATTTTCTATTGGATCATTGTCCAAGAGAAATTCAACTGGGTTTGTATAGTATTCATAATCGTTCTCTCTAAAAGATTGCAAAGGATAATATCATGCTTAAGAGAATATGTATTTAATGGTTAACAGGACATGTTCTAAGGAAGAGAGAGTGATGATCAATTGACAAATGATATGATCGTGTCAATATTTTCATGGTTCTCTTTTGGATCTATGTAAAAGATAAGCTCGATTTTATGATATTTGAGTGTTAAGGTCAAGCTAGTAATTAGACTCATGTCACATACTCTGAGAATACTCAATGACGAATAGAGCATGGCGATCATTCTATTAACAACGATTCTATTTAACGAAAGAAAGCAAGGAAATATGATGCTGAATTTTCATATTTTAATATCATGCTAATTAGAATACCTAGTGCAGAAGGGGACATGTTCTACGACAGCGATCGTGACGATCATTTGACATATGATACGATCGGTTTATATTATTCAAGGAATATCAATATAGAATATATAATGTTTAACAAAAGTGAGCGCAGTGAACGTTCTTCATCGATCATTTGACAAACGACGAGATCGCTAGTATAGATCGTATGAATACAGAACAGATCGAAGGAGAACATTTAACATCAATTACCATCGATCATCCTAAAGTACAGAACTGGAAATAAAAGGTTCTACGAAAGATATTATGGCGATAATTTGTCATTTTCATCACTATCAAAGGATCAGAGGAAGACAGAAGTCAAAATTGCTAAGAAACCGTTTGACATCGTTCTTTTGACGAACGATAAGATTCTGACAATGATGTTCTCTTCGAATCTCCGTTAAAGGAACATTTAATGTTTAATGGAAAAGAGCTTGGCGATCATTTGTCAAATTATGCAGAAAAAGTCGATCGAGAATGATAAGGTTGTGATTAATAATGATCCTTAAGTGTAGATGGTCACAGATGTTATTCTCTTCGGATCATCGGGGAAATTCAATATGATGAGCTTATGTTTTACAGAAGAGAGTTTGGCAATAATTTTCCAAATGATGCAATGGTAAAAACATTGATCAAGAGTAGATCGCCATATGTTCTCTAGGTATTTGTATATTCAAAACTTGTTTATTTCGATTGAAGAACAGTCTCAGCTTCGTTTGACATCAATCACTCAACATCGTTTAACATCAATCAATTTAACAATGATAAGATCATGACAAATAGATCGAGTGTTGTACTGAATACAGAAGAAGTTGAAAGAAAGTGAGGAGATAAGATTGTGATAACGCTGCTTAAGTGTAGATGCTCACAGATGGTATTCTCTTCAGATTTTCGATAAAAGGAAATTGAATTTGATGATCTGATGTTTAACGGAAGAGAGTTTGGCAAACATTTTACAAATGAGGCGATCGTGATCAATGGGTAGAGTGACACATGTTTCTCTAGGTATTTTTGTATGATTAAAGTTGAGTAATCACTTTCACTAAGAAATGGTGTAATAGATATTGGTTGTCTATGTGTTGGCGTCGTTTTTTTTAGAATTATATTCGAAAGCAGCAGCAGTAAAAGCAAGCAAGTAATACTCTAGCTGCAACAACAATATCAACTAAATAGACAACAACTACAATAACAACATGGAGTAGAAAGAATGAAAAGCAAAGAAAAGAAAAGCCATCCCAGAATAGGCCTCAACTCGCTTTTTTAGTTTTGCTCTTGTACTTTTAAAAAACATTTGCGAGTTCTAATAGAGTTAGAGCCATTGGTTGGTTGGCAGGGAGTTGGGAGTTCTTCTTCTATTTCTACTACTACTTCATATACCATTACAATTCAGCTAAATGTTCTTCTTATATACGCTTCAAAGGTTCTTTTGGCAAACGATCGGGATATTTACGTGAATATTGACTATGAAGCGCTTTACGTGAAAATGTGTGATTTTTCTTTTGACAATTAAACGCGAATGAAATTGAAAAAAAAAAATTGATAGAAAAAAAACAAAAAATAATAATAAACGACATAAACCTAAATTAATTACAAGTGATCATTAGGATTTAAATAAGGAATAAAATCAATAAATTTATAAAAAAATGTTTAATAGAAAAAAATTAATATTAAATATTTTAAATTAAAAATAGTTTAAAAACGAGTTTGTGTGTTTGGAATTTAAAAAAAAAAATTTTGAAAATTAATTTAAATTAAAAAAAATGCAAAATATTACAAAAAATCCCTTTTGCCATCACACCCTTCTGCGTCCACGTTCTATGTGCGGTTGTGTGTCTTATCTCCATTCAATGGTGGTGGTGTTGTTGTTTTTGGTGCTTCAACTTGAAATTTTGTTGCACCATTTAAACTGAAGAGCAAAATAAGCATAACAAAATATTAATTACGGAAGTGTATTTAATTTACAAATTAATTATTTAATTAAACAAATTATTACAAAATATTCCAAAATAAAGAGATGTATCAATATTAAAGCCTACAAAGTTTGCAATAAATTATGGAATATCCTTTTATCCTCTTTTACCTAAATGTCCTGTAAAGCTTTTTCAATACCCTTTAAAATCCAAAAACATGCTCAGTTAACACTATAAAGGAATAAGGATTTAATGAGGGAAAACAAATGTGATCAACAATATGGATTAAGGGGCTGAAAAGGAGGACTTTGTTTAATAAAAAATAATAAATTTTAACCCTTGAAAGCTTTGGATGAGCTTGAAGTGGCCCATTTTTTAGTGCAAAAAAAAAACTATAAAAAAAAATTAAAACAAATTTGGAAAATTTTGAAATTTTTACAGCAACTTTTTAAACTCTAAATATAATATTGAAATTTAAAAAAATAAAATACAAAATGTGAAAAATTTTGAAATTAAAAAAAAAATTTAAATATTGAAATTTAATAAATTTGAAAATATTGATTATAATATAGATATTCATTTAAATAAAATTATATGTAAATGTAAACAAAAAATATTGAATTATTTTGAAAAATATTGGAAATATATTTTGAAATTTTCAGATAACATTTTTGTTTTTAAAATTTAAAAACAATTGGAATTAAAGAAAATAAATTAAAAAATATTGAATTTATATTAAAAAAAATAATATTTTTAATAGAATTTTTTGAAATTTAAAAAACAAAATTCTAAATAATTAAAGAAAATTTAAAAATTTAAAACGATTTTCCAAAATAAAATTTGTAAGAAATTTCAAAAATATTGAATTTATAAAAAATATTGAAATTTAAAAATTTATAAAAAATATGATTATAACAAAATTTGATTTTTATAAAAAAACTTGAAATTTAGAAAAAATTTTGAAATTTAGAAAAAATTTTGAAATTTAGAAAAAATTTTGAAATTTAGAAAAAAATTTGAAATTTAGAAAAAATTTTGTAAAAATTTTGAAATTTAGAAAAAATTTTTATATTTAGAAAAAATTTTTAAATTTAGAAAAAATTTTAAAAAGTTTTTAGGAAAATTGAAATATAAAAAATTTTAAAAAGATTTTCTAAATATTACGTATTTTTAAAAAATTTAAATTTATAAAAAAAATTGAAATTTAGAAAATTTTTTAGAAAATTAAAAATTTAAAATAAAAATTAAAAATTCACTTGTTTTTCGAAAATATTTAAAACAGATTTGATATTTTAAAATTTACAAAAAATTTAAATTTAAAAATAAAGTATTAAATTTAGAAACATTTTTAGAAAATTCAAAATTTTCAAAATATTTTCCCAAAACTACTTATTTTTAGAAAATTTAGAAATAATTTGATATTTTGAAAATTATAAAAAATTTAATGAAAAATTAAAAAAAATTTGAAAATTAAATAAATATTAAATATTCTAAAAAAAAATTTTAAATTTTGAAAATTAAAAAAAAATTTCTTAAAATTTTTAGAAAATATTGAAAACGGGTTTGATATTTTAAAAATTGAATGAAAAATTTGAAATATGTATTGAAACAAAATTTTAAAACTTGGAAAAAGAAAATTTTTCCAAAAATGACGTATTTTTAGAAAATATTTAAAACTAGTTTAATATTTTAAAAATTTAATGAAATATTTGAAAAATGAAAAAAATCAACAAATTGAAAAATTTAAGAAATTAAAACAATTTGAAAAAGATTCCAATAAAAATTTATAATAAAAAAAATTAGAAAAATTAATAAATAACAAATTTTGAAAAATATTTTGAAATGTAGTTTATGTACAGCTTAAATCAAGTACGGACAAATACAACCGGATATTTGTACTGAGATAAATTAGTGTTGAAATCGGGGACATAAATTCAAAGACCTTGAAACTTTTCCTAACTTGAAAGTCGGAGGTTAATCGTTCCCTCATTCAGGTTCCTATTTTATAAACTTATAAAACCTATTATTGATCACATTGCCCCTTTGAAATACCAAATTTTTAAAACTTGTAAATATTATACATATTATATTTTGTTCATACTCAAACTACACTCAAACATAACCTAACCCACATAACCTAAAACTGAACCCAAATTAAATCCCCCCAAAAAATGGGAGTTACAACCTTAAATGGTTAGGTATTTTCTATTTGCAATAAGTACAGCATTCTTTTAAAACAATAAACAATCAAAAAAAAGAACTAAATAAAAAAATATATCAAATCAAATTTAACTTTTTAACAACCACCACCTAATAAATAACATATATAAGTTCAAGTAGTTGTTTGCAAAACGTTTGGTCACAAAACAAACAAAAATGTCTAAACCAAAGACGATGGCTCTGGAGTTGATTGAACCATGGATGTATTCAAATTAGATTTGGATCAGGCTCAAATCGGTTCCAGTCTGGTGGAAAGTAGTAGTAACAATAATACAATACATCATAATTTACACACAGCAACCGGCCCGGCCGGTGGTAACGGTGCCAACGATAATTTACAGGCGGTCGATGAAGACGACGACGAAGTCTTACCCGAAGTTAGTTTTGATGCAAATTCTGATTTTAATTTACATTTTTTCGATACACCCGAAGATTCCTCTACTCAGGGGGGCTTTAGTGATCAGGGTTCGGTAGAGTCGGAAACGGAAGCATATTTGGAATCGCCCTTAATTGCTAGAACTGGTTTACAGAATCAATTGTCTCAGCAACAGCAGCAGCAGCAACAACAATCACACTCCTTAACAACAGATTGTCAAAAGTTTTATCAATCCTCCACAGCGTTGGGTTTAAATCAAAGAACTGTTACGCATAGTGTTAATACAAATAATAGTTTAAATCCTGTGATAGCTGCGACAAGTTTTCCACAATTTGGCAATGGTGGAGGTTCGCTATACACCGCAAACAATATCCACAACTTTACACAATCGAATTCATCGTCATCCGGCTGTTCTTCAACCTCTTCAATCGCCAGCAATAGTAGCAGCATTTGCGGCAGTAGTTCTAGCCTCACAAACGCAAACAACAACAACAGCGGATCAATATCCGGAAATAATCGAATTATTGGATCATCAACAATATCCTCATCATCGTCAGGTTCAGCAGCAGTTTCAGTATCAACAGCAACAACAGCTTCAGCATCCTCCTGTTCTTCCACAGCCGCCGCAGCAGCAGCATCAGTTAATTCGGCCTCAATCTCAACGTCATCATCATCGTTGGGTACTGAGCATTTTATTGGAAACCTCAATCATACAACAACACAATCATCAACAGTTTCATCCTCAATAGCTTCATTGGCAAATGTTAAATTACCATCAGGTATGACCTTTTCAAGATGAAATGTAAGGGAATTTTATATATAGTTTAGACCAGTTTATGGACTATAGTACAGACTATAAATCAATCTATAGCTCAGACTATAGACCAGACTAGATCAGACTGTAGAGCTAATTATAGACCAGACTATGGATCAGCCTACATATTAGACTACGGTCTAGTCTAATGATCAGATTAAAGGCCAGAATATATACCATACTGTGGACAAGACGATAGACTGTAATTATGAACCTGATTATGGACCAGACTACAGACTAATTTATAACTCTGACTATAGACTATTCCACTTACTATAGACCAGACTTTAAATTAGATTATTAACAAAAGAATAGATAGAGGTTATAAACCAGATCATAATCCAGAATATAGAATATAGATCTATAGTACCAGACTGTGGTACTGTTTATAAACAAGACTATTGACATGATTATAGACCACATTATATAAAAAATTATAACACAGGCTGGCTGTAAACCAGACTACATTCAATGATATAGAGCAGGATATAGACCAGTCTATGGTCTACACTATATACTTGACTAAAAACCAGAGTACAGACCAGACTATGGACCAGAATATAGACAATACTTTAGAACTTACCAGTCTATAAGCCTGGTTATAGACCATACCACTAACTGTAGACGAGGCTATAGATCAGATTATTGACAAATCCAGGCCATAGACTACACTATATTACCAGTACAGTATATCCCAGACTATTTTATAGACCTGATTATAGAGCAGACTATTGGCCAAATTATAGACCACACTATAGATTAAATTATAATACATGCTCGATGTAAACCAGATACATATATATTGATATAGTATATGGATCAGACTATAGTCCACACTTTATACTAAATTATAAGTCAGACTACATACCAGAGTATAGACCAGACTAAATATCAGTCTCAAGAACATACTACAGCATATAGTCCAGGCTATATACCAGACTAATCACATACTGTAGATCAGTCTATATAAAGACCAGTCTATAGTCCAGATTTGAGTTTATACTTTAGATCTGATTATAGATCAGACTAAAGACTAGTATATTGCCATACTTTAGACTTTCTATAAACCAGACTATCGATCAGATAATAGACTAAAGTATAGATTCTATATAATCCAGGTTATAGAGCGAGATAATACACTATAGTACCAAACTGTAGCGCTGACTATAGATCAGACTGTTTTATAGGTGGTAGAGACCGGTTAAGTACATATTATGTAATATTTCTACTAGTAACAGATCTTTTTCGTAGCGAGCGGTCTGAGTAAAGCTATCCTAAAGAACTCTTTCTCCTCATCCAATTTTGTACTCCCTATTAAACCACACAAAAAGTATTCAGTTAGTTTTCAAATTTTCCATTCTATTGGCGAAAATTATTACCATTTCTATGAATCTGTTTTTGTTTAGCACCAAGGAAGAAAGAATTTCTGTATCATTAAAATCCATAAAAATAGCAATTTTTCTTTTTAGTGTTTTTTAGAGTTTATTTTTCCGTGATCTTCAAAAAGATTTTTTTGTATTTTTTTTTTTTTCTATTTGAGTGTTCATTCTATTTCTACACTTTTACAATCGTTAGGTTAACTTCAAAATGAGATACTTCAACTTATTTATGACTTTCAAACTTAAAACAGCCACATGAAATGAAACGTGTTGCAACAAAAAAAAAAAAAAAAAAAAAAAAAACATTAAACTAGTAAGTGTATAGTCGGCAAGGGAAAATTTCAAAACACACTATATTATATAGATATAATAGAAATTTCGAAATCACTACTAATACCACTATAGTTTCATTAACGCCTGCTGACATTTCACTAGCTGGGTAAGAAAACAAGCTGCATTTGTAAGCAATTATCATTAAAAGTAAGTGAAAGTTACAACAACAACTATTATTGTTCTTAAATATTATTTAAATTTAAATAAATACTTCCTATTAATTACTCGTTATAGAAACAAGTTTCAAACAAATGAAATTCTTTACAGAAAGTGTTTTTCCTTAAAGATTTTCTTTTGAACATAGACAATTTTTTTATATTAGATGTTCCAAACACTTTCTTCTCCATTTTTGCTGTAGCGTGCCTGCTCCAACAATAACAGTTGAAGTTGTAAACATGCTTTTACTTCCTCGTTGTTAATTTTTGTTGCATCAACAGAAACGAAACGAAGTGAATGAGCGCGCGAGTGGGTGGCTGGCTGGTTGGTTGGTGGGTTTTTTTCTTTCCTCAAATTGTTGCTGTTATTGTGGTTTTTGCCTGTATTTTTTCGTTTTTGTCCATTTGGAATCAAATCAAGTTTATTCAACTCGATTTATAATTTTATTGTTGTTGTTGTAGCACTGTGTGGTTTGGTTTTTCTTGTACTCTCATAAAACACGTTGCCAATTCATTAGATTGTGGGTAATTTTTTTGTTGTTGCTTGAGAGTGACCAGGTTAGATTTTCATTATTACAGATCTATTTAAATTGGACTAGTTCCATGACTGGTTCCTTGTGGGACACTTTATATGTTTTTTAATATGTTATTTAATATATATATAACATATGGACTAGTGGATTATGGGCACACAAGTCTATTGACTACATTACTAGTCTATTGACTATTATAGCCTGGTGTGTTGATTATATCATTGACTAATATTGATTAGACTAGGGTATGGACTATTGACTAGACATAGACTGATATAGACTAGACTATAGACTAGACTATAGATTAGACTATAGACTAGACTATAGACTAGACTATAGAGACTATAGACTAGACTATAGACTAGACTATAGACTAGACTATAGACTAGACTATAGACTAGACTATAGACGACTATAGACTAGACTATAGACTAGACTATAGACTAGACTATAGACTAGACTATAGACTAGACTATAGACTAGACTATAGACTAGACTATAGACTAGACTATAGACTAGACTATAGACTAGACTATAGACTAGAATAGACTAGACTATAGACTAGACTATAGACTAGACTATAGACTAGACTATAGACTAGACTATAGACTAGACTATAGACTAGACTATAGACTAGACTAGACTAGACTATAGACTAGACTATAGACTAGACTATAGACTAGACTATAGACTAGACTATAGACTAGACTATAGACTAGACTATAGACTAGACTATAGACTAGACTATAGACTAGACTATAGACTAGACTATAGACTAGACTATAGACTAGACTATAGACTAGACTATAGACTAGACTATAGACTAGACTATAGACTAGACTATAGACTAGACTATAGACTAGACTATAGACTAGACTATAGACTAGACTATAGACTAGACTATAGACTAGACTATAGACTAGACTATAGACTAGACTATAGACTAGACTATAGACTAGACTATAGACTAGACTATAGACTAGACTATAGACTAGACTATAGACTAGACTATAGACTAGACTATAGACTAGACTATAGACTAGACTATAGACTAGACTATAGACTAGACTATAGACTAGACTATAGACTAGACCATAGACTAGACTAGACTATAGGACTAGACTATAGACTAGACTATAGACTAGACTATAGACTAGACTATAGACTAGACTATAGACTAGACTATAGACTAGACTTAGACTAGACTATAGACTAGACTATAGACTAGACTATAGACTAGACTATAGACTAGACTATAGACTAGACTATAGACTAGACTATAGACTAGACTATAGACTAGACTATAGACTAGACTATAGACTAGACATAGACTAGATATAGACTAGACTATAGACTAGACTATAGACTAGACTATAGACTAGACTATAGACTAGACTATAGACTAGACTATAGACCTAGACTATAGACTAGACTATAGACTAGACTATAGACTAGACTATAGACTAGACTATAGACTAGACTATAGACTAGACTATAGACTAGACTATCGACTAGACTATAGACTAGACTAGACTAGACTATAATAGACTAGACTATAGACTAGACTATAGCTAACTATAGACTAGACTATAGACTTAGACTATAGACTATAGACTAGACTATAGACTAATATAGACTAGACTATAGACTAGACTATAGACTAGACTATAGACTAGACTATAGACTAGACTATAGACTAGACTATAGACTAGACTATAGACTAGACTATAGACTAGACTATAGACTAGACTATAGACTAGACTATAGACTAGACTATAGACTAGACTATAGACTAGACTATAGACTAGACTATAGACTAGACTATAGACTAGACTATAGACTAGACTATAGACTAGATTATAGACTAGACTATAGACTAGACTATAGACTAGACTATAGACTAGACTATAGACTAGACTATAGACTAGACTATAGACTAGACTATAGACTAGACTATAGACTAGACTATAGACTAGACTATAGACTAGACTATAGACTAGACTATAGACTAGACTATAGACTAGACTATAGTCTATAGACTAGACTATAGTCTATAGACTAGACTATAGTCTATAGACTAGACTATAGTCTATAGACTAGACTATAGTCTATAGACTAGACTATAGTCTATAGACTAGACTATAGACTAGACTATAGACTAGACTATAGACTAGACTATAGACTAGACTATAGACTAGACTATAGACTAGACTATAGACTAGACTATAGACTAGACTAGACTAGACTATAGACTAGACTATAGACTAGACTATAGACTAGACTATAGACTAGACTATAGACTAGACTATAGACTAGACTATAGACTAGACTATAGACTAGACTATAGACTAGACTAGACTAGACTATAGACTAACTATAGACTAGACTATAGACTAGACTATAGACTAGACTATAGACTAGACTATAGACTAGACTATAGACTAGACTATAGACTAGACTATAGACTAGACTATAGACTAGACTATAGACTAGACTATAGACTAGACTATAGACTAGACTATAGACTAGACTATAGACTAGACTATAGACTAATAGACTAGACTA